GCGTAGCACATTGTGCAAATCCAATTAGGTGGCACTTAATATACTGTGTCATCCTAGAAAATGAGCTGATTTTGTAAACATGCTGTAAAAGTACAGGCCAGGGTAGGAATCAGCTACCCTAATTTTCTAAAGAAAAGGAGGGCTAGAGGTGACGTGATAGCAGTATTCCGGTATTTAAGGGTCTGCCATAAAGGGGTGTGGTGGCTCAGTGGCTAAGACGCTGAGCTTGTCGATCGAAAGGTCAGCAGTTCAGCGGTTCGAATCCCTAGTGCCGCGTAACGGGGTGAGCTCCCGTTCCTTGTCCCAGCTTCTGCCAACCTAGCCATTCGAAAGCATGTCAAAAATGCAAGTAGAAAAATAGGGGCCACCTTTGGTGGGAAGGGAACAGCGTTCTGTGCGCCTTTGGCGTTTAATCATGCCGGCCACATAACCACAGAGATGTCTTCGGACAGAGCTGGCTCTTTGGCTTTGAAACGGAGATGAGCACTACCCCCCTAGAGTTGGGAACGACTAGCACATATGTGCAAGGGGAACCTTTACCTTTACATAAAGAAGACGGGGGTCAACTTATTTTCCAAAGCACCAGAGGGCAGGACAAGAAACAATCGATGGAAACTAATCAAGGAGAGAAGCAACATGGAATTAAGGAGAAACTTCCTAACAGTGAGAACAATTAACCAATGGAACAGCTTTGCCTGTTGAAGTTGAAGGTGCTTCATCACTAGAGGTTTCTAAGAAGAGACCGGACAGCCTCTTCTCTCAAATGGTATAGGGTCTCCTGTTTGAGCAGGGGGTTGGACTAGAAGACCTCCAAGGTCCCTTCCAGCTCTATTCTGATTGATTGATTGATATGCTTGCAGGATAAAGAACACCACAATGGCCCAATGCATTTAAGTTACTTTGTTATTAATGAAGTTATGCCATCAACTCAAGTGTCAATTCCTGATGGCCATGTAGATTTTCTCCACAATTCTCTGTCCCTAACCTGCTTCTTCAGGTCTTCCAATGGTGAGGAACTACTAAGTCCATCCATTTTTGTGGGGGGTGGGGTGGGGTGGGGGGGCACCCTCTTCTTCTCTTCCCATCAGCTTTCCCAGCATGACAGCCTTCCCCAGAGAGCTGGGTTTTTGCATAATGGATCTGAAGTATGATCCTTTGAGCCCAGTTGCTTGTGCCTGGAGTAAGAACTCTCTGTTACCAATAAAGGAGAACATTTGTAGCTCAGGGTTGAAATGATAAGTCTTTGATGCTCTCTGAGCTTGCTTGTTTTCTTGTAGACGTTTCGTTACCCAAATTAGGTAACATCAATGGTGCTACTGATTAGAGGGGAAGAGAGAGAGGAATAGAAGAAAGGGAAAAGGAGAGGAAGAAAGGGAGGGGAAACAAGAGTAGGAGAGAAGGTTAGAAATGGAGGAAGAAAGGAGGAGTGGGGGAAAGGAAGGGGAAGGAGAGAAGGGGAAGGAGAGAAGGGAAAGGAGAAAGCAGAAAATGATAGAAGAAGGGAGGGAAGGGAAAGAGAGAAGGAGAAGATAAGGGAGATGGAATGGTAGAAGGGCAACCCCAATTATACTCAAACTTATTAGGATGAAGAATGAACTAATATGAAAGTTAAAAGAGAATATGTATGATTAACAATGGATAAGATAATTAATTGAAATAATGTTAAGAAATTAGGATTTGAAGGGCGGATGGTGATACTGTTTATATAGTAAGTATAGAAGGCATTAAGACAAGATAAAAAAAAGTAGGGAAAAATATTTTGGCAGAAATTGAAATATGTAAATTGTATTTGGATGTGACAAATTGTATAAGATATGATTCGGTCAATACTGTTCATAAAATATGTATGTGAAAGAAAAAAATCAATAAAACTTGTTTTTTTAAAAAAAGGACCCCTCAATTCTGTGTTGATTTGGATCGTTTGATTTTTTTTTTAAAGTTAATTCGGAATTGGCTCATAAGAAAACATCAAATTTGATAAGCCATTGCATTATCCCAAAAAAGTTTGATATATAAATAAATTAATGCTAACCCTTGCATACCTACGCATAACAAAAGGTATTTACTATTGCCCTTCTACCAGGTGGGAATTCTCTGGAAACAGAAGAACGGTTGCTATCTGCAATATTCTTCCTTCCATTTCCCACATTCCAGTCAGAGGCTGAAGAAGCTTCTTGGATGAGAAGCGAAACGTCTTCAAAAGAAAAAAAGAAGTCCAGTTGCCTCTTGAAAAAAGCAAATTTGGGACAACCATGACCTGGATGGATGGCTGAGAACCTCCCTAGACATTTGCGATCTGCAAAGGTAAGTAAGTAGCAGGCGATGGAGGAGCCGTGGGGGTGGCGGGGAGCGCTCTTCCGATGCTCAGCTACGAGACCAGAGGAGAACTTGCCTTTATGGGGGTCGGCAGGTGCCAGGCAGATCTCTCCCTCCTGCCCGTCCCAGCCACGTTTTCTCCGGCTCTGTTAGGCGAAACCGATCGCCGTGCCAATGGCCCTCTATCGCCCTCTAGAGGCCAGAGCTGGGAAAGCTCCCCATGACGTACTGTAGGGAATGACCAAACGGGGTTCGGGGGTCTTTGGATGGGCGCAGGTAAAGCCTAACTTTAACTTTACCTCTATCAAAAGAGCCTTGATAGTACAGTGGTTTAGTGCACCCTGTTATTAACACAGCTGCCTGCAATTTCTGCTGGTTCGAGTCTCTCCAAGGCTCAAGGTTGACTCAGCCTTCCATCCTTTCTAAGGTAGGTGAAATGAGGACCCAGTTTGTGGGGGCAATAAACTGACTTTGTATAAAAATATACAAAAGAATGAAGGCTATTGCTTAACGCATTGTAAGCCGCCCTGAGTCTCCGGAGAAGGGCGGCATATAAATCAAATAAAAAAAACAAAAAAAAACTGCTGGCCGGCGTATGGGACGGGGAGAATATGGGGCGAATAAAGCGGTGTTTCATGAACCACCTGGGATAGAGGCATTTCGCGCAACGCTCACGTAAGAGAGCGGGGCTTAAGGATTCTTCGTGCAAAACGGGAGCGTCGCTTGCGAACTTTTGCAGAAGATCCTGCGCAGGGTTAATAGCGTGCGCTCTCCACGATCGAACTCTTCCCATTTAAAATTCATGGTGGGTAGAGGGGGGCGCCGTAATAGGTCGCTGCGGGTTAATCTAAAGGGAGATGAGCGGTTCAAAAATGTGAAAAGTAAAAAATAAAATCGAGGCAAGGATAGGATTCTGGCTGGGGAGGCTAAAAACATTTTTTTTCTTGTTTTCCTCTTCTAAATCTAGGTGCGATTTATAGTCTGGTGCGTCTTATAGTCCGAAAAACCCAGTTGAGTTTGAGGACCCAGATTGTGGGGGCAATAAGCTGACTTTGTATAAATATACAAAAGGATGAAGGCTATTGCTTAGCGCATTGTAAGCCGCCCTGAGTCTCCGGAGAAGGGCGGCATATAAATCAAATTAAAAAAAAAAAAATACAGTAACTTCTGTTTGATATTGACAGGGATCCCATCACTTTCCTTTGTTCTAAAGGGCTTTGAAGTTTTGGAGTGGAGCAGTAGTGAGGCACACAAATGGTTAATCACTTATCAGATCTGATTCCGATGTAACTTAAGCCAAAAAGTTACTTATATACATTTGCATGCAGCGTTTAATTAGTTCTCAATACCCAGGGGTTTGTTTTCATGTCTGTCCCTCTGGCTTTATCTTTAACTTCGGTTTCTTCCAAATTAAAATGGCATTCTCAGCTGTAACATGGCATCAAGGTACTTGAAAATAGAAGCAAACCATTTTGTGGTTAATGATTAATCGGTGATTAATCACAATCGGTGGAATGGCTTGCCTCCACCAGAAGTTGTGGATGCTCCAACACTGGAGGTTTTTAAGAAGAGATTGGACAACCATTTGTCTGAAATGGCATATAGGGTGGTGCTTCTCAATCTCAATGGACTCCCTTTAAATACCTTTCGTGGCCACAGACCATGGCTACGAACTGTAGGGAGTTAGCACCCACCCCTTTCCTGGAAGAGTGAAATATTTTAGGAAATATGAAGAAGGCAAAATATTATATTTCCCTGGGATAAGCATGTTTTGAAGCAGCTCCCATCTTCCTGCCCCCACCCTTTGTCAATGGGCCATTAAGGCTTGGGCCAGTCTATTCTACATAACAAAGATCTACCTCCTTCAGGCAGAGCCATAGTAGGAATTGCCAAAGATCCAACAAAGATAGGATTAGCCCTCTACACAATAGCAGCAGAAACTCACCACATGTGACCTGGGAAGCACATGTGACCATCAGCCAGCAAGGCTAGCTAAGACCCCCACCCCCTGGGAGTCTGACAACCAATCAGGATACTCTTTCGGGGCCCCAAGAAATGCAAAGCCAGAGAGAGCATAAAAACCTGAGGATTTACTGTATTTGCCCTTTTTCTGTTCAGGAACTCAAGCCATGTGATCCTGTCCACCATTAAACCATCTTTCCAAGCAGTCTCCATGTTTCCAGTGTCTGTTTCCCCACTTGGAGCAGAACCCAGAAGGATATTTCTTCCTACAGAACCACCAAGACTTAACTCAAGTTTTAAATCAACAATTCTTCAAGTCTTTGTGGATCCCCTGTGACAACATCACACACACACACACACACACACCGGGGTCCATGAACCACAGGTTAAGAACCACTGGTATAAGGTTTCCTGTTTGAGCAGGGGATTGGGCTAGAACTTGGGTGGGCAATTGTGGCTCTTTTGTACCACCTGTGGACTTCAACAGCCAAGCTGTCTCAGGAATTCTGGGAGTTGAAGTACACAGGTGGTACAAAAGAGCCACAATTGCCCACCCCTGGACTAGAAGGTCTCCAATGTCCCTTCCATCTCTGTTGTTCTGTTGTGGTCCCTGATTGCAGAACCACAGATATCATAGCACCTCATGTTTTGAAGACACCCCTGTTCTGATTGTGGCAACTGGTGTAGGAATTCCCATGCCCCAGTATGGACAGAGCCACAAATGACAGGTGAGGATTCAGTTTTATTTCTTTCCGTTGGGCATCTGCTTTGGACAATTCTAGTACTTGCTCTGCATGGCACAAAGTCATTTGAAAATAAGAGAAAAAGAAACATTAAAGTAACAAAAGAGGAAATTCCTCATCATGCAATAGCTGTACACATTTCATTACTACTTCTGTTCCTCCTAGGGAGAGGTGGAAGTTGAGGAAACTCCAACATCCTAAACAACCTAGCAGGATTCGTTTTGAAAATCCTGGATAATTTAATAGAAAAACTGTAAGGGGGGAATTATCTGCCATTTTGAATGATTTTACATCCCCAACACATCTACCAGGGCTGCTTCTCAGACCTAGTTCTCTCCCTACCAAAAAAAAATGTCTATCTTACCCCAATTTAACTGCCCTCCAGAAACATGGATCCAGAATAGCCATGCTAACTAGGGCAATTCTACAAGCCCACATAGCAACCAAGGTAGAGAAGTAGATGAAATTAGCCACAGATCCATCACCAAATCCACTGAAGGAGGATTCATAATGTATCAGTGACTGACATCCTTTTCTAAAATAGGTATTGCAACAGTTGCCTATTCAAAACTAGCTTCTCAGTGTACTTGGATGACCCTGAATCTATCATGGTTAATTTGTTATTATTTGATTCTGTCTTTACAGTGAAAAAGGAGCAGGAAGGAAACGAGCTGTGTCATCTCTTGAGGCTAGGAAGCATATTTACATGCAGATTTCAACCTGTAACAATCACCTCCTATAAAGGATTCCAAGAAGGCAGCTTTGGAAGAATTTGGAGTGACAGTGCCAACACCAAAGGATCAAAGCTTTGATTTAGCCTCTGCAAAAGTCACAGGATAGGAAACAAAACAAAATTGGTAGCCGAGAGCATAGAGTCAAAAAAAAAAAAAAATGGGAAGAGGAAGTACTTGGGCTGATGGTCTTTCCATTAAAGGTCTCCTTCTTGACATTAGGTGACCACTCTTGCCCAAAAAATACATCCCAAACTTAGCCAAATAAATAAAACGGGTTTTGGGCTCACTGTTGAGCTAAAGAATGGATGGAAATGCCAAGGGGATCAAACAATCCAGCCAATTAAAGGTTGTACCTCTATGAATCTTCTACTAGATCAGGGGTGTCAAACTCAATTTCATTGAGGGCCACACCAGGGTTGTGTTTGACCTTGGGGGGCTGGGGTGGGTGTGGCCAGGTTAGGCATGGCCAGCTTGATCTCACTCGTGTTGGGTGCTCTGCCAGTGAAAACGGGCTCCCGAATGTTTCCGGCTGCGACAGCCTCCTGCAACCCTCTGCCAGTTGGCAGAGGGTTGCAGGAGGCTGTCGCAGCCAGAAACTTAGCTCAGGAGCCTGTTGCAGGAGGCCGTCGTAGCCGGAAACAGAGTTCAGGAGCCCATTTTTGCTGGTAGAGGCACTGCGGGCCAGTTCCTCACTGTTTGCAGGGTGGCTCTGCACCGCGGGCTTGATCTAAGCACCCTGTGGGCCGAATCCAGCCCACGGGCCTTGAGTTCGACACCCCTGTATTAGATGCTACCTCTATTTATAGTTTTTGACACCTAATTACCGAGTCAGAACTGCATACATCCCATCCTTCTTTCCTCCCTTGCCGTTATAGTAGCTGATTTTAAACGTTACTTTCAATTTGCCTCAACAAACTACACTTTGTGATTCAAATAAGCTGTTGATCACTGGAGCCGGGCCTTCCAAACCCATGTGCTCAGGACATCAGAAACTTTCTCTGCTTGGGAGACTTCACTGGACATTGCCCACGCATGCACTGCCAAACCAATCTTTGCAGCCTTAAGAATGGAAAATTTTACATCTCCCCAAACAAAAGCAGGGAGCAACCCACAATCTGTTGGCCTTCTTCTATGCTCAGTGTTAATGTCTGCCTTTGCATAATGTAACTGCAGAACACACACAGCCCTCTCGGTGAGGGCACCAATATATCACCTGAGTACGAAGATAGGATTCCATTTAAGAAAGTCATTCAAACCGACTGCGTTTTTTTTAAAAGAAAGAGATATCTGATGGGGTGGGGGTTGAAATGTCAGCATTTCAACCTTTGCAGGCTGTTTTTCTTTCCCTGCTTTTATTTCATCAGCTGGACAGTTCAAAGGTTTTCTTATCTCTTCGGCTGCAACAGGTACAACATCTTCGTGGCGCTGGCATATGGGTGCAAAGAGCATCAGCAGAACTGTAAAAACAGAATGTTTTCTCTTTAATAATGCAGGAAATTGCAGTCCAGATGTTTTGCCACTCTGCACCAGAATAAATAAATTCTGCACCAGCAGTTTGAACATAAATTGGGCATAAGCCAAGCTCCTTATGAAATAAGGAAGTTGTGGAACCATCACATGTAAGGAAACATAGTGCCAATAGAAGAGAATATTTGTAGCTCAGGGTTCAACTGTGGAATCCTTGGGGCTCTCTTTATGTCCCAAAGTTGCTTTTATTTTATTTTCAAGAGGCAACTGGACTTTCTGGTTTTTCTTTCACGTCTCATCCAAGAAGTTTCTTCAGCTCTGACTGGATGATGGGGAACAAAAAGATTTATACTCCTTGGTCTGGTCATTTGCATTCTTTTATTCTTTTGAGGCCACCTGGAGGTTTTTTTATTTTTTTTATTTTATTCATTCAATTTAGATGCCGCCTCTCTCTGAAGACACAGGGCGGCTAGCTGTGTCATCAGGGTCACCTGAGTAGTGCAAATGAGTGTGGAGCCTTCATGGAACTGTCTTCAAAGAAAAACCAGAAAGTCCAGTTGCCTTTAGGGGGGAAAAAAGCACTTTTGGGAGAACCATGATCTGGATGACTGAAAATCTCCATAGACTCTGAGCTTTATGATTTTCTTGCAGATGTTTCTTGCAGATTACCAAACTAGGTGTAGCAGGGGGGACGAGGGGATAAAAGGAGCGTTAATGAGGAAGGGGAGGAGTAGAGGGAGTGCAAGAGAAGGAAGGAGGGGCTTGGCTGGAAAAAAAAAAAAAGGAGGGATAAGGGAATAGGATAGCAGAAGTTTCTGTGGAGCAAGCCTGAGGGAAATGAGGGGAGATTATACACTAACACAAGAAGCTTCAGAAGGGATGTGAGTGTGCTGCCAACACCTGAGATATTTTGCTGGAATCGCACAGCTACTGCACACCCCATGGAAAACATCCAATTTCTGGAAGACCATACTACCTCCAAAGTGCCACTTCTCAATTTTGTACAATGCAGACACAAAAGAACAGAAGTTGCATTGCATTGACAAAGATGAATTACCTAATTTTTAAACTTTTCATTTATCAAATTTAGGGATTCGCTGAATGACTGAATGGGAGATGTACAGCTAAAAGCAAAAAAAAAAAAAAACATATAAAAAACCATAGGAGATAGTAATAGTAATCATCTGCTTAAAGCAGGGGTTCACAATCCCCAGTCCATGGACTGGCACCGGTCGTGGCATGCCATATAAAACAGGCCGTACAAATAAGCAAAGCCCCACCCACGGGATGCAGGCAGCACACAAAACCACACCCCCTCCAGTCCGTGGAAAAACCTCTCTCCAAGGAACCAGTCCCTGGTCCCCAAAAGGTTGGAGTCCCCTGGCTTAAAGCTGTTGTGGCCCGCCAGCAGCCAGCAGAATTGGCAGCTAATTCGGACAGTGAGAAGGTTGGAGACGAACATGGGCCAGTCCTGGAGTCTGGGGAAGGCTCTGATGAGGGCTTTGCGTCAGAGGCAGAGAGGGGGCCAGGGCCAGATGCCAGTTATCAGCTGCCTTCAGAGTCAGACATCAGTGGGGCAGAAGAACAGCTGGAGCCTGTTCCCAGTATGCGCATGTGCAGAGTTGCCAGACGAAGGGAATAGCTAAAGAACAAGGGTTGACTTGGGAGTAAGGCCACAGGTGGACAATGAATGGCCCCTCCCAGAGGGAATAAGAGAGGAGCAAAAGAAGAGTGGAGTTTGCAGGAGACAATTAGTTCGCCTAATTGGTTTGTGACTCTCTGAGACTCTTTGCAAAGTTTTGAAGATATCGGCCTGGCAGCTCTCCAAGCCAGATAAGGTCTGTGACTGTAAATTCCCCCTTGAAAGACTGAAGGTGAATCAGAGGAGTTCGCTGTTAGTTTAATAAAAATTTTATCGGGATAAGGAATCTGCTTCGTGCTTTTTGGGGAAGCCTAGGTCAGAACAAAAGCATTTGCTAGCAACAATACAAACCTTCCAGCGATTGCCACACTCATTACAGAGCACGAAAGTCGTCATGGGCTCATCGGCACTCCGGGTTTGCACCTGATTATAAGTGCAGTTCTTTTTCTTGCATTTTCCGCACTGGAAGAGGTCAGTGGCAGTACCTCCTGTCTTTGCCATCTGATGCTCTCGGATTGCTTCTTGGGTCATGGCGTTTCTTAGCTCCTTCAGTTCATCACTAGCCATTTCCTGCAACGCACAACAGCGTTCACTGTACCAACTTGCAGCGGTGCCTGATTAGTTAGGCAGGTTTCATCCAAGTTAAGTCTTGTTGGCCCTGTTCGGTTCCAAAGCTAGTGGGAGCATTGGCACACAGTGCTCAATTGGGTTTAAACCTTGGTTAGGAGTTTTGACTATACAGGTAGTCCTCGACTTACAACTGTTCATTTAGTGACCATTCAAAGTTACAACAGCCCTGAAAAAAGTGACTTATGACCATTTTTCACTTATGACCTTTGCAGCATCCCCATGGTCAAGTGATCAAAATTCAGATGCTTGGCAACGGATTCATATGTATGACTGGGGGTCATTTTACGACTTTGACAAGCGAAGTCAATGGGGAAGCCAGATTCACGTAAGAACCGGATAACTACCTTAACTAACTGCAGTGATTCACTTGACAATTGTGGCAAGAAAGGTAGTAAAATGGTGCAAAACTCACTTAATAAATGTTTCACTTAACAAAAGAAATGTGGGGCTGAATTGTGGTCATAAGTCAAGGACTACCAGTTACAGGGTTACATTATGCTATGCTATGCTAATCTATTTAGTCAAATGACCAGCATAAAACTTGCATGAATCCAGATATGCAATAACTGTCATGTATCATTAAAATAGCTGCTATATTTACATTTAAAAATGCCATTAAAGACTTAAATTAAGGTAATCAAGCTTAACAAACAGATAGCTTTAAAAATCTGATTATCAAATCTCAATACAACAGACTTTGCACACAGTAAAGCTAATCACTGTGACAATATCCAGCTTTTGTATAATGATATCCATCATCCAAGTGCCATGGGGATACCATCTCTCGTTTGACTGACCTTTCCTCCTCCCACAACTGATTTGTTAAATTCAAGTTTTATTTGTATTATACGGGCCTGAAAAACAACAACACGCCGCCTCTTTCTACTGACCTCTGCCGTCATCTTTGCAATTAGGGCTGGCGGGATGCTTCCGCACAACACATTGCGCCGCAAACCAGGATTCTTGGGGTCCTTCAGGTTGCTAATTCTGCTCCTCACTCGGTTCCGGTATTTCATATCTGTGCTTTTCAGTTCTTGGTAGATATGTGGCAGCATTAAGGAATAATGTTTGTTTTAGTTTGGACTAGTTTGGTCTAGTGATTAAAACCCCAGCCAAAGAAACCAGGAGACTGTGAGTTCTAGTCTTCCTTTAGGCATGACTTTGAGCCAATCAACAGGAGATGGAGAGTGATAATCCTGTCTCAAGGCATGAAAGCAAGTGGGGGACTTTAGGCTAATCACCAGGAGATGGTGAGTTCTAGTTCTGCTTTAGGCATGCAAGCTGGCTGGGTGACTTTAGGCCAATCCCCAGGAGATAGTGAGTTATAGTCCCACTTTAGGCATGAAAGTAAGTCGGCTGAGTGAGTTTGGGCCAGTGCCCGCCCCTCTTTCAGCCCAACCCACCTCACAGAATTGCTGTTGTGGAGAGAAGGAGGAAAAAGTATAAAGTATTAAGTATATTCTCTTATGTTACTGAAGTAGCAATACCCTGTTTCCCCCAAAATAAGACATCCCTGATAATAAGCCCAATTAGGCTTCTGAGCGCATGACAATAAGGCCATGAGCTTATTTCAGGGATCAAAAAAAAATATAAGGCAGGGTCTTATTTTCGGGGAATCACGGTAGTAGTAGTAGTAGTAATAAAGGCAAGATAAAAATTGAATAAATATATGGAAAATGAAGAGAACATGCAGAAAATTGCATCTAGGAATTCTTGCAGTTGTTTCTGCTTTCTCATTCCAGCTTTCTGCTCCAAAGACTTTCCCCAATCCCTTGAAGATATTTTTTGTTTGTTAGTTTTTTAGTATTCCCGCAAACACGGGATCTTGCCGATTCCTCCATCTCTCATATAGACAGAACAATCCTGCCCAGGGGTGGGCTTAAATTTTTTTAGCAAGGGATTCTCTGCCCGGTTGCTGGGTGAGCATGGCCATGGTGGATGTGGCCTAGTTGGCCTCCTGCACCACAGCCAGGGGTGGCATTTTTGCCCTCCCCAGGCTCCGGAGGCTTTCTTCGAGCCTCCGGGAGGGTGAAAACGGCCTCCCCCAGACTCTGGAGGCCCTCTGTTTCCGGCTTTCCCAAACTTCTGGTAGGCCTGTTTTTCACCCTCTCTGAGCACACGCCCTACACTTATCTGCATCCAAAACAGACTGTGTGGGGACCCCTGGGAAGGGTGAGGTGGGCGGGGCCAGCCAGGAGTGGGATTTGGGGATTCTCCGAACTGCACAGAATCTTAGCTAGAGGTTCTCCTGAACCCTTGCAAATCCCCAACAGCCCACCCCTGATCCTGCCTACAGCAGAGACTGAGGATTGCCATTAGTCCTAAAAGCTAGTTATAGTCTTATATATTTCTCATTGCTCTCGTTTTTAACAATGCCTAATATATTCCCAGAAGAGCACATTTTCTGTTTGAAGCAGTAGGCAATTACTGTCATTCCCATACAAAATTTGAACCCCTTCTTTTTTAGCCTTCTAACCTTTTAGAAAAAAAAGTTCAAGAAAGTATCTCCTGAATTTATACAATTCAAATGACTGGAGTTTTTTTTGTTTTTACCCATCAAGGCAACATCTGTCCAATATTAGCATAAACTTTTCCCACTCTGATACTAATAACCAGCAGACCCGAAATATCAAAAAGATATGATCTTCAATCTCGGCTGCCATCTTATCACAGTTGACCGCAAATTGTTTGTAATCGTCTTGGATGGAGATGAAGAGGAGAAAGAAATGAAAACAGGGGCAGAAGGGGAGAAAAAATCATTCAGCACAACCAGATGAAATTCAGTTTTGTGTCCAACCAAAAAACCTGAACTTCTATACTTTAGATCAGGGGTGTCCATCCTTGGCAACGTTAAAACATGTGGACTTCAACTCCCAGAATTCCCCAGCCAGCATGGGAGTTGAAGTCCACATGTCTTAAAGATGCTAAAGTTGAACACCCCTGACTTAGTTTAAAAAATAAATGCGTAACATAATTAACTAGTGTAAGGGCAACAATAAAAAATTATAATTTCCTTATAGAATGCCTATTAATATCAATAATGCAACGAACAGTAGTAGCAGCAGAAAATAATCGTTTACTTCTGAATGTGAATTTTTTAACTGTGGATTGTTGTTTCCATTATATTTATTTGAACCAGGAGCATTTGCAAGTTCTGATGCTATCGTTAAAGTGATAAGCAACATGCCATGACCCTTCCATACCCACATTTGATGTTGTGACACCCTCCCCCCCCCCCAAAGGGCAGAGTTTGCATCATGATGCTCTTTTCATCATTTGCCTCCTTGGCTCTCCCTGCAAATGCCTCTGATTTGGAATCACTTTTTATCTTATGGTTGCTCTTCATTTTATCTTATTTTACAGACTGTTTTTACAGACATTTTCTGCTGCTGCTTGGTGTGGCACGGTAAGTAAAATTGATTCTATTGGCATTATCAATCATCTCTATATCAGTATCAATTTTGTGCCATGGTGGCACAGTGGTTAGAATGCAGTATTGCAGGCTGATTCTGCTTACTGCCAGGAGTTCAATCCTAACCGGCTCAAGGTTGACTCAGCCATCCATCCTTCCGAGGTCAGTAAAATGAGGACCCAGATTGTTGGGGGCAATATGCCGACTCTGTAAACCGCTTAGAGAGGGCTGTAAAGCACTATGAAGCGGTATATAAGTCTAGGTGCTATTGCTATCTCTATATCAGTAACTGTGGAAACGCCTGTGTAGTTATGTAATCTAATCAATACACGTGCATTTCAGAAATCACTGTTTGATCGCTTCTCCTCTTCTGAATTTTCTCAATCATTTGCCATACAGGTATCTCCCAGCAGAGTGGAAGCTGGAGATAAAAACATCTGAACCAGAGCTCCAGGTCAGACTATAAACTCTTTAGATCCCCTTGATTCTCACCCTAAGTTAATTTTTTAATTCCCCCAGGATGTTTTCTTTCTCACCATCCATTTTCAGAGCTGCAGAGACCATCTCAATACACTTGTCCCTAATGGAGTCTCCAGTCAAATAGCACGAGGGCAAGAAGCAGACAGAAGTTCCAAATGTTGGCGTGACAGGGCTGGCTGGCATCCTGGGCACCTCAGTTCGAGATTTGTCATTTGATCTGAGCAGGACATCAAGTGAGATTTTTGCTTTAAATGAAAAATGCTAATTTATGACCACTTCAATATAGCCTCTAACCCAAGACAGAAGGCCGTTTGGGATCACCGAAGTCAAGAGCAATCAAATTATTTTGCTATCCAAGCCAAACCATGCTACTCACCTCTTCCCTTGCCTAGCTGCAAAAAATCCAATAGAAAGGGATTAGAAAGCTCATTGTTTGCTTTCTTTTCTTGAAACTCGGGTTGAGCAAGCTGGAGTCCCACGTTCTAATCTGGACTGTGCTACTTACACTTTAAGACAGGGCTGATGTGATTAATCGGCATGTTCATACAACATGCTTTACCAGTTAGAAAAAGATTTAAGATATGTATTTGTGCAACATTGGGAGCTTGGTTAACATGCGTTTCAGTTCAACCTTTGGTGCTTAGCTTACAAATCCAGCCTGCCACGTTTCCCTGGTAAACCCAGCAAAAGAGTTAAACTAGGGGTGTCAAACTCAAGGCCCGGAGGCCAGATCCAGCCCACAGGGTGTTTAGATCTGGTCCATGAGGCCACCCTGGAAACAGCAAAGGACCAGCCCACGGTGCCTCTGCCAGTGAAAACAGAACTTGGGAGGGCCGCAGTGGCCCTCCCAAGTTCCATTTTCACTGGCAGAGGGTTGCAGGAAGCCATCGCAGCTGAAAACAGAGTTCGGGCAGGGGTGAAATTCAGCCGGTTCTATCTGGCTCAGGCAAACCGGTTGCGGCGGCTGCGGGACACTCCGCCCACCCACACGGATGTCATGATGTCTCTTTTTTGAGATGGTTGCATGTGCAACCATGGTTGCATGTGCGCACACATTTGCGAAACTGTAGGGAAGGTAAGTGAATTTCACCCCTGAACTTAGGAGTCCGTTTTTGCTGGCAGAGTGCTCAGGCCACCACAGCCCCCGCCCCCCAGGTCAAATGCAACCCTGATGCAGCCCTCAATGAAATCAAGTTTGACACTCCTGGGTTAAACGAATCTCTGGATTACAAGCTTTGTATTAATGTAGCCAACTTAATTCAAAGCCAATACTGTATGACAGGAAAGCTGTTTCTTTTGTCTCTCACACACAATATTAGAACATTCCATGGAAAACTTGTGCAGAATTCATAAGAAGCAGAAATGAAGGCTACACAAGAAGTCACATGGCAACAGCCACAAAGTATGCCCTTTTATAGAAGGGCAATCCTCTATTTGAACATGTGCTCTGTTTAAAAAGCTGCCAGTTCATATTTTGGCCTATGGGGAAACATCTATCAGGGGAAGCAGCCAGGGGTCTTTAAGGAACTTACCCAACATAAAAAACTGGCCATCAAACTGAATAGACACTCAGATTACTCATTCACATTATGAGATTTTTCACATTCCTCTTTAAGTATTGGTATTTTTTTTTTCAAACATAAATCTTTACCAGAATTGGGCACCTCATACCAGTAGTGGGTTTCAAATCCCAGCGCTACCAGTTCGCTATCGGTAGCAAGCATGTGGCGCTTCTGCACATGCACAGAAGCTTCTGCGCATGTGCAGAGCGTTTTTGATAACGTCTGGGTGGGTGGGCGGAGCTTCCCGCCACCACCACTACCGGTTCGCCTGAATTGGGGCGAACCAGGCGCAATCCACCACTGCCTCATACCCTGCAAATATCTTAGCCTGCAAATCTCATGGTCTATGACTGGGATAGTGGAAGTTGTAGTCAAATTGCCTATCCCTTATACAAACTACATGTGTAGCCTTTTTCTGCCCACTCTAAGAAGTTGCAGTGAAGTTGATAGCTTAGATAGCTTTGAAGAAGTTTCAGATAAAAACATAAGGAAGATGCCTACTAACAACTACTTGTTTTAGGCTGATATAGGAAACATCCGTTTCTAAAGCACTGTAACAAGTGAACAGCAGCTCTTGTAGAAGCAACTGAAGTGGAATATTGTCTGCACACTCCTTTGATTGATCTGTTAATGGCAATCGGAGCGACTTAATTTTTTGGTCCTGCTCTCCATTCTTATGCCTTAAGGTTTGGCTATCCTCCATGTAGCAAATTTCTCCTGTTTTTTTCTTGGAACCCTTCCACCCCAAAAATACCTTTCATCTTTGCTATCCTCTTTGTTTTTATGAGATCCAGGAGGCGAGGTTGATGGGTTGGAGCTGGTAGAGGTTCTCCTACTGTGGATACAGAGAGGTGCATCATAACAATTTCAGCTCAGATCATGGTATTGCAAAGCACAATTTTAGGGTCCTTTTGAAAACAAAGGAGGAGCATAAATTCTCTCCATGCCAACATGTGTGATCTTATCTCCTCTAAGGTAGGAGTAGAGGAAGAGTTATTTCTTCCTCAGTTAATCAGTGGAACGACTTGCCTCCAGATGTTGTGGATGCTCCAACCCTGGAAGTTTTTAAGAAGAGATTGGACAGCCATTTATCTGAAATGGTAGAGCAGGGGTCAGCAACCCACAGCTCTGGAGCCGCATGTGGCTCTTTCATCTCTCTGCTGTAGCTCCCTGTTGCTGGTCGGTTCCACAATTGATAGGGCTTTCGGTTAGAACAGGTAGAGGAAAAAGGATGCTGCGCTAGGAGACTCTATGGTGGGGGAACCAACTTCCAGTTGGCAAAGGAAAAAGGACACGCTAGGAGGAGACTCTATGGTTGGGTAACCGGACTTCCAAGGAAAAAGGATGCCACACTAGGAGGAGACTATGATGGGGGAACCGGACTTCCTGTCGGCTCCAGAATTGAATGGGGGCTTCTGGTTAGGACCTTTGTGGCTCTTTGAGTGTTAAGGTTGCCAACCCCTGCAGTAGAGGGTTTCATGCCTGAGCAGCGGGTTGGAACTAGAAGATCTGCAAGGTCCCAAGTCTCTCTTCCTACTCTGTTATTCTCCATCTTGCTAGATCGGTAGAACCAATGTAAAACGATCAGTAGTAGAATTCTACTGATCCACAAGGGCTGGATTAGCTTACCTGTCCACCGACAGTCTCTTGGGAGAGGAAGTAGAGGAACTAGAAGTAGAGCTGGAAGATCTTGAATCTTTGGAGTCCCTCCTTTATAAGGGGAAAAAATGGGGGGTATGAAGACTGTTGGCAAAGATGCATACATCATTAGACCTCCTTGCCGTAAAACTGAATTTAACTCAATTTAGGACTGCAAAGACTTACAACTGAAATCCTGATCCCCACTGTGGTCATAACTCAAAGATTACCTGCATCCTGTCAGTCAGAAAGTGCTTTGCATGCGACACTCCTATTTAACACTTTGAAAGCTCAGGATGGTGTGGGTTATACTGCATTAAAACCCACTAACTCTGGCTATGGCGGACGAGGAGGGCAGGCAGCCAAGTATATAGATTGCAACATTAAGACTGCATAACGGGCCAGCTCCCGTTTGTAGAAAGCTGTACTGCAATGACAAACTCATTTATAATGCAACATTTGCATACACAAAACAGCAAGTCGCTGTTGCTATTGTAGCGGTGTGGGGAAGAGGTGTTCCCGCAGTCCCCTTAAGAATGGTTCTCCTTTTTTCCTTTCTAATTCTTTACGTCTCCACATCTTTAAGCACCTTCCTTGGTGAAGAGTAAGGAGTTCTCTCCAGAGCCCTGAAAACGTACCTCTCTTTTTTGAGCTCCAAGTGTGACTTTTGGGAAGTAGAAGCGTCTTTGGGGTCTCTGCATGGTGAGAACAAATGTTAAGACTGTGTTACATCTTAGCTCGGACAGTACTCAGAGGTGACTTTTTTTGATGATATAATAAATGACTGGTTGTCCCAGCTCTGCAATTCATGATCGTAAGTCATTCCTCAAGTCAGTTTTCTCTAGATAAAACAGGATAATCACAGAATATCCATCTTCCAATGACCAAAAAAAAGAGAAAAGAACCCCACTGAAGCATAAGAAAAGGACGCTCGAACTGAAAAAGTACTCTGCGACTTGTAACCGGTCACCTAACAACCATTTGAAGTTACAACAGACCTCCCCTGGGGGGTACTTACAATCAGGTTCCAAATTTCCGATACGCCCTTGCAAGTCATGTGACCACATTTCGACAGTTCAGCAGTTACCCCGCAGTCACATGACCAGGTTGTCAAGACTGACTCGTAATGCACCCCAACTCGCAGCTTGACAACAGAGACAATGGGAGGGGGGAGTGGAGAATGCTTGGGATGTATTGGGAGCTGGGAGGGAGGCGAGGAATTTACGCGAGCCGTCTGCAGCCTGAGAAAATCCCGAGACTTCAAGGTCGTGCTACCTTCCAAAGGCGCAGACTGTTTTCCCAAAACAAAATGAACGTACTGGATTGCTGGACAAAGGACAGGGGTTGGCCCAGATGGGGAAAAGGGGAAATTAATTATGCTGGTTTTCGCGCGCAAACCTCAGAGCGAGCTTTGCTTCTTCTGTGCCTGTTTGGTTCTATGAGTAAAGTTATACTCTTGGTTTAAAAAAAGGTGCCAGGATTTTTTCTTTTGCTGCGTAGGTCAACAAAACGGGTGACACAGGTTTTGCAATGGTTTTGCCAAAAAACCAGCATTTGCTTCCAATATTCGGCAAAACTGGCCATAGTGAACAACTGGTTAATGACTACGGTGTTCGCTTAATGACTGCTGCAGAAGAAAAGGTCACAAAATCAGGTCAGATACCTGGGTGAGCCATTTTACAACCAGGCTCCATTACAGTCATAGGTCAAGGACTATTTACCGTGTTTCCCTGAAAATACGACCTACCAGCTTGATTATTACACGTGCACCCAATATAAGCCCTAACCCCAAAATAAGCCCTAATTAAGACTTCGCCCACTCCAGGGTGCACAGGTAAAAATTAAGGTAGGATGGGGATGGGGAGGGGTGGAGTTGCCTGACTACTTACCTTCGGATATTCGCAGCCAGGCCTCGCACACCTCAGCGCATTTCTTTTGCTGCAGCCGGCAAGGCTTTTCTGAAGGCCTCTGTAACCAATAACAAGAGTTCTGGATCGATCCGGAGCTCTGTTATCGGCTACAGAGGCCTTCAGAAAAGCCTTGCTGGCCTTGCCAGACAAAGAAGGTCCTGAAGGCCTCTGATAGCAAAAAAGGGGCGACATGTGCAAGTGAGGTAAGTCAGTGGACGACATTCCAGAGGTGAAATCCAGCAGGTTCTGAAAGGTTCTGAAGAACCGGTAGCGGAAATTTTGAGCAGTTCGGAGAACCAGTAGCGGAAATTTTGAGTAGTTCAGAGAACCAGCAAATACCACCTCTGGCTGGCTCCAGAGTGGGGTGGGAATGGAGATTTTGCAGTATCCTTTCCCTGGAGTGGGTAGGGAATGGAGATTTTGCAGTATCCTTCCCCCAGGAGAAGGGAGGGAATGGAGATTTTGCAGTATCCTTTCCCTGCCATGCTCACCAAGCCATGCTCACAGAACCGGTAGTAAAAAAATTTGGATTTCATCACTGTGACATCCCCCCCCGCCCCCCAAAATAAAACCTGGTGCCTTTTTTTATATTCTTTCTAGCCAGGTTTTACCTACGTAAGCTAAGATGTTCTGCATCTTAGAACATCTTCGGTACGTAGATACGTACCTAAGATGTAGGTAAAACCTACATCTACCTACAACCTTTACATAGGTAAAACCTGGCTAGAAAGAATATGCACATAAAAGTCTACGAAAAAGATATTATATATATATATATATAAATAAATAAAAAAGACAGGGTCTTATTTTCGAGGAAACACCGTATATTTCTGTTTCTTGCTTCGCTCTCTCCAACATGGTTCCCAGAGTGAAGCAGATCTGAGAGGTTATGTAAACAGTCAATTGCAGGCTTCTTGTTTCAAGGCAAAAAGCTCCCCACCGGATTACAACAAGGCTGTTGGAACAAAAATCACAACATCTCCACCCATCTAAACACGAGGATTAATTGGTTCTAAGCGGAAAAACATTCAGTTCCTGAAATTGCTTCCCTGTCATCTCAAGTCAGTCTTGCTTGGAAAAACTTTTTGTCGGTTTGAGGCAGCTGCCAAAGAATCTGAAAATAAACAGGATTACAACTGGGATACCCTGGAGGATTTCTCAACCAAACTTGTGGGAGTTTGTGTTAACTTTACGAAGAATCTGTCCTGTCCTTTCATCCTGGGAAAGGAGGCTGAAGATTTCCTACCCAGCTTCCCCATCCAAGCAGAGGCATGACAGGTAGTCCTCGATTTAGGACCACAATTAAGCCCAAAAGCTCCGTTTGCTAAGCAAGACAGTTGTTAAGAGTCCTGTTTTAATACCTCCCTTGCCATTTAACATCCTGCAGTTGTTAAATTAGGAACACGGTTGTTAAGTGAATCTGTCTTCCCCATTGACTTTGCCTTGTCAGAAGGTCGCAAAGGGGGATCACGTGACCCCGGGACATTGCAGCCGTCATAAATATGAGTCAATCGTGCCATGTGTCTGAATTTTGATCCCGTGACCGTGGGAACGGTGGCTGCAACGGTCGTAAATACGAAAAGCGGTCATAAGTCACTCTTTTTCCCCAGTGCCGTTGTAACTTTGAATGGTCACTAAATGAACTGTTGTTGAATGGAGAACTACCTGTATTTCTCTGTGCTTCCCTTCTTTTAAAATAGCCCCTCCCTCAACATCACCTACTTTTCCCTCCTTTAGAAAACCCATTGAAACTGTGCTGTCTAATAGACCGCCTGGGATGCAAAGGTTATCACAGAAATTGAGAGCAGAGAGCAAAACCCTTATTATGAATTCTGATTTCTTTTTTAACAAGCGTTTATGATCTGCCGCGTTTTACGGTTTTCGACCTTCTTGTGAACCCCCCTGGAGTCTCTCCGGAATGCAACCGTTTATACAAATTGCAAATAAATAAAAGATGAGCCTGGCTTCGCTTGGCAATCAGCTTGGAGACCTCCTGAGAGGTTAGATGGATATTGACTAAGGTTTTAGCTTTTCCTGCAGTAGCAAGCCCTTTGTTTTGATTAAGCACTACAACACAAGTCCTAATAAAGCAGGCCGAGACACGGGACGCGTTTTAAGGAAGGATTGGGCAAACATCTCCATTCGTCAGCATCAGGGGCAAGAGGACAAGCAAGTAAATTGTCCTGATGACATCACAATGGAAGCCCTGCAACTTCTCTACAAGGGCGGAGTTTGCATTGTGACATCGTAGCCTGTGTGATGTCATTTTTCCAACTCCTTCTAGCCTGGTTTTTAAGAGGCGATGCATCAAAATCTACACAAAATGCGATTTACTAAAGCAATTAAATACATTGCATTTTGGGCTACAGTCTTATGGCCTGTCGGCCACCGGCCCCTCCAGCAGCCGAATCAGAGGAGAAGGAGGAGGCGTGGGAGTCAGGGTCAGCATCAAGGCAACCTGAGAGCTCCGAGGGGGAAGAGGGAATGGAGCTGGCAGAGAGAGGCAGACAGAGGCGGAGCCTGGGCCATCCGTCAGCCCTCAGATGGAGAGTCAACAGCCCCCAGGTCTGGAGATGGCTGATGAGGAAGAGGAGGAACAGCTGGGTCCAGTACCTGACACGCAGAAGCACAGAAGGCAGAGGAGAGGAGAGCAGTGGAAATCCTTGGGCTGATCCTTGGGACAGAAGAGCCACCACTGCTAGCAAAGCCCCACTCTAGCTCTGGGGATAAAAGGCAGGGGGCGGAGATAAATAGATGTGGCAGACAACTATTCATCTCCCTGCCGGGCGGACTTATTACCCTGCGTTGAGAGAGAAACTTTTTGCCGGGACTGCTGGTGCGCCTAATAAAGGAATCTTTGAGTTAACTTCAGAGGGTTTGTCGTGTTTGGGGAGCTGGGTCAGAACATACAGATTGTCAGGCATAAAGAAACTGGATCATTCATAAAGTTGCAGCATAGATGATTTATTCAAGCTTATACACAAGAATCTCCTCAATTTGTGGTCATCGCTAAATTGGCGCTAGATAAAGGTCAGCAGAATTCAAGTAGGGTTCAACTTGGCTGACTATGAAGGGATTCCAAACTGATGGTGCATTTAACTCCGCCTCCCAGCTCCCGCCTGCTCTTCTCCTACACAGATCCTACCTAGAGTTGAGAATTGGATCTGATGTCATCTGAGATCAGAATTTGGTGAACCAAGAAAACCTGCCTGACAATGTAGAAAGTCAGCACCCAGCCTCCTAGAAGAATGAAATATTTTGAGGAATATTAAAAAAGGCAGAATATTATATTTCCCTAAATGAGAAATGGAGAAACATGGGGGTTTTTTTAGAGGCAGGAAGCAGACTCAGTCTTTCTTAACAGCCCCAGCAGATATTTTGTGTCCATTAAGAAAGATTGGGCCAGCCTATTCAGAAACCAGCCCAGTTTCCCTGCCCCCAGGCCGAAACTGAAGAAGCCATCTTTTAGAAATGCAGATTTGGTAATCTATTCAAGACAGGACATTTTGAAACTCCCTGCAGCAAAGTCTGAACTTTGAATGGTAGGATTAGCCCTCACTCAAGATCCAACACAGGACAAAACCATTAAGCTACAATAGGAATTGCCCAACACTTTTTCAGAACACAAGCCCCCTTCATTACATCATCTCAGAGCAGTCCAAACTTCAACCAAACCTGGGAGCTCAGACAAACACCTAGGATTTGTCTCTTTTGCCTATAGAGCCAGCCATGACCTTTACATAACCCCTATCTGACCCCATAGGAATCTGGCAACAGCCAATAGAATATATGTTTTTGCACAGCAACAGGAAGCTCAAGTGCAAAGCCCAAAGAAGGTACAAACTCCTCCCCCCTCTCAACTCCATGTGGTCAGCTGCCCAGCATCACAATTCTGCTTCATCATTAAACCATCTTTTCAATCAGCCTCCAATGTTTCCAGTGTCTTTCTCCCAGCTTGGAACTGAACCAGATGGATATTTCTTCCCACAACAGTTACAGCTTTCTCGTCTTTCTGATGCCAACTTGACACCAAAGATGTATGTGTCCTCTTTGTAAAGAGGAGACATCAGAACAAATACCCAGAGTTTCTGAAGTTTGTTTTTCATGCTTGTGATGCATGCACAATCTCTGCAAAGCCTTTTTTCTCAGCGTGGAAAGATGCAATGAAAACTACATGTGAATAAGGCAAAATAAGTAAACCTGCTGGTAAAGTACCTGGAAGGGATGTGGGGAAAGAGACTTTTCCCCAGAACTGAATGAGGAGTTTAAACTTTATGAGGTTACAAGTCAAGTGAAATTGCTTTAAAAAGGAGGCAATAAAACATACAAATAAACCAGAGAGCTGCGGCATTTTTTTATCTTTTAAGCTCATATTTACAAAAGATCCTACATTTTGCTTAGAAAGGGCAATCTATATTATTTATGAGTTTTGGTAGTAACGCATCTGAGAGATGAACACATCCCATAAGCAAGAAATGTACCGTGCCTCTCTTAATTTTGAAGGGAGCTGTGGGCCAGCAATGTTTTTAATACAACTGCTATATTCATTGAGGACCTATGAACACCATGTCTCTCTGTGTCAATAATGTGCCACACTTCAATTGTTTCTGCTAGAGTCAGAGAAGAAAGAGGAGATTAAAAGGCCATGGGGATGTTATCACCTAGGACAGCATAGACACAAAAAAGCTGTTGTACGCTGCTTTTGCTAAGGACAGGTAACTACATACATGGGCAGCAGAGGGCAACCCTACCTGATAAAGAAAAAAGTTAAGCAGGGATAAATGTGGCTAGGATTTGGATGAGTTATCCTGGGGCTAAAAGATAGACCAACCATTTTCAAACTGTATTCATGATGGCATTCCATGGAGGGAGGGAAGGAGAGAGGAAGGAAGGAAAGAAAGAAAGGGAGGGAGGGAGGGAGGGAGGGAGGGAGGGAGGGAGGGAAGGAAGGATGGAAGGAAGGAAGGAAGGAAGGAAGGAAGGAAGGAAGGAAGGAAGGAAGGAAGGAAGGAAGGAAGGAAGGAAGGAAGGAAGGAAGGTGAACACTGTCAATATTCTATTATTAGAGCTTTGTCTTTTGATCATGGCTCCTGGGAATTCTTTCCTTATCTAACAATGGCCACATACAACTTAATATGCTACTTAATTAAAGGATAAAATGATGTACAAATACAGAGGTGTTGACTTATGTAAACAGCCATCACTGAATTAAAAAGGCACAAAATTAATCTGGAGGAGAAAAACAAAATATCGAGGAAGAACAAAAGAAGAGCCACTGTGGTCTGCATCTTGTACCACCGATCTATTACAGAACTGAGGAATATTCAGTAAATTGGCCTCTTTTTGCTCAACTAGATATCCATCTAAGCAACAGATGTGCTGAGGACTTTATTTAATAAACTTCGGAGGAACTTCCCAAAGCCATCAGCTCAGTGCACCTCTGTCATCTTTCAAATGGTGAGTTAGCCGAGTCCAGGGACAAAATCTGACTCACCGGCACTGAAGTGGAAAGTGAAATTAAAGAGGCTCTCTGGCAAAATACAACTGGCATTTCACCAAGGACAAACAAGATCAAGGGAGAGAGACATTTTTCATCTTAAGAAACGGACTCCTTTCCTGAGATAAGAATGGTGCTAAAGGCCTAATCATATTCTTTAATTCAAAAAGCTGGTAATTACTTTTTAAGCTGTAAACCAGAAGGAGATAATCTTTTACAGACTGGAAGCTGCATTTTTTTAAAAAAAATATTATTTGCAGCTCTAAAGATGCATATCTTTAACATTGAAATATAGAAATATTTTGGCCTTTTGGGGAGGATTTGAGGAAAGTTAACTGTGTCCATGGTGCTGATAAATTTTAGGAATCCCAAATCAATTAGGGGGATGGTGGCAGGGATGAAATCCAGCAGTTCTGACAGGTTCTGGAGAACCGGTAGCGGAAATTTTGAGTAGTTCGGAGAACCGACAAATACCACCTCTGGCTGGCCCCAGAGTGGGGTGGGAATGAAGATTTTGCAGTATCCTTCCCTGGAGTGGGGTAGGAAAGGAGATTTTGCAATATCCTTCCCCTGCCAGCCCATCAAGCCACGGCCACAGAACCGGTAGGGAAAAAAATTCGATTTCACCCCTGGATGGTGGTATTAAGGAAAATATTCTTCGGCCTGCAAATCTTGCAATTTCTACCAAATGTAAGGAAAGTTGGTAGAAAGGGAAATTCTTACTTTGTCCCCCCACAGAAACCTGCAAGTAGGGAAGAAAAGGTCTTTGAACATCCAATAAGGAATCAAAATACAGGTTCCAAAACAAATAATCAAGGCAACCTATACTATTCATTGTTACTGCATCCAGTTTTGGTCACCACACTATAAAAAAAGATGTTGAGACTCTAGAAAGAGTGCAGAAGTGAGCAACCAAGATGATTAGGGGGCTGGAGGCTAAAACATACGATGAACGGTTGCAGGAACTGGGCATGGCTAGCCTAGTGAAGAGAAGGACCAGGGGAGACATGATAGCCGTGTCCTAGTATTTGAGGAGCTGCCACAGAGAGGAGAGGGTCAAGCTGTTTTCCAAGACACCTGAATACCAGATAATGGATGGAAGCTGATCAAGGAGAGATTCAACCTGGAAGTAAGGAGAAATTTTCTGGAAAGTGAGAAAAATCAGCCAATGGAACAGCTTGCCTTCTGAAGTTGCGGGAGCTTCATCACTGGAAGCTTTCAAGAAAAGATTGGACTGCCTTTTGCCAGAAATGGTGTAGGGTCTCCTGCTTGGCTGGGGGGGGGGAGGTTGGACTAAATGACCTACAAGGTCCCTTCCAACTCTATTAATCTGTATAATCTATTAAGAGTACGCACCAAAAGAATAGTAGGAGACATACCCCTGCAAACGAAGAGATGCACTCATATTTATGTATTTCAAAAAGGAAGGGAAAATGATGCCTGCACACATATTTCTAAGTAATAATGTAACAGACCCCAGGTTCCTTCCTGCCCTCCTGTTATCTGCAGAGAATAATGGTTTTAGTTAGGAAAAGAAAACCTTTGCATCTCGAGGTTCAGGGATTGCTATGGGAATGTTCTGATAAAATTTAACACAGGTCACTTATGAGCTGTAAGGACACATTCCTCATGTCTTCATTTGTCTATTAAACAGTTCCATTCATCTGAAAGCTTGATTTCCCCCACATCACCACACCAGGTATATCTCATTCCTTTCACATCTTTTAAAAAATAATTACATTTCCAATTACAAAGCATACCTGTCTGATTTGGAGATCAAGGAAGAACTGCTCTTCAGCATGATTTCATGTGAACTGGATTGATTCAATTTCCTAGAAAAGAAAACCAGAGGCATGATCAAGGAACAATTGTGAATTTGTGGACGAGGTCAGAGTTTGGGGCTCAAACCATTTTTGCTCTTGAACTTGAAAAATTCACACTTCTCTTCTGGGTACCTCTGTGAAGCCACAGCCTTTCAAGTTTTTCTCCCAAGGTTATAACAATGACTTATTGATCAAAACCAGACAGTGTGCTTTCCATCTGAATTCAGATAAATCAAGATTTGCAAAGGTTCTTTGTAATTTTGTAGACTTGAAACTGTAAATCAACAAGCACACAAAAATCGCCCATCCGTTCTACCACCAACCTTGGAGAAATGACCTTCAGCCATTTTTCTGATTTTTTAAAAATTTTGATTATGCAATGCTCTGCTTTCTGCAATCCCTAATCAACCATAATTTTCATTTAATAATAAAGTCACCACTTACTAACAAAAAATTACCCAGTTCTGCTTTGAAGCAAGACAAAGGCAAATATCGAGCTAATTTTTTTAATTAAAACTGTAAGATCTAGCAGTCAGATGCAAAAGATAAATCGCATTTAGCAAACCCTTCAGTCCCTTTCTTCAATTCCTTCCCCCCCACCCCCATTTTAGGGTCCATTTCAGTAAACGCCAAACCTAGAAATTTGATTTCTGCACCAGAATTGAGCTGCAGATTTAAGTATTTCTCAAAACACCCCGTTTCTCATGTTTTTTTTCTTTTATTGGTTTCAACAGTCTGACGTTGGTGGGAAAATATGTTGTGGTCAGAACAATCAAACAATTAGAGATTTATGATTCATTACAAATTACTCGGAAATCTACTTGTAAACATTAGAGCTCTTCTGTTTTCAAAAGGCTGTCTTTGCTAAGAAGGGGATGCCTGCCCCCGCCCGTACCCATTGCATACAACCCAGGAAGAGAGTGGACTGCCCATTTGTGTCCCCATGCACTCTGAATCAAATCCAAAGCAATGCTCATTCCTATTCAATGCCTTCTCTTCACCCCTTTCCAAGCCTTGATTTGATGATTTCCTCCATCTCAAAAGATGTCTCTTCTCCAGGCTGTGCTGTCCAGATATACTATAGCAGTGATGGCGAACCTTTTTGCCATCACGTACCAGGAGTTTGGGGGGTGGGGTTTGTCATGCGTGCATGTGCCCACACCCATAATTCTATGCACCCTGCCCCCACGCATGCACGCGCGATCCCCCCCCCCCCGCTCCTGGCATGCGATGGCCCGGTGAGCCTGTTTTTCTCTCTCACCAGGCTCCAGAGCCTTTCTAGGAGTCTGGGGAGGGCGGAAACGGCCTTCCCCACCCTGCCCTGGAGGCCCTCCAGAGGCCAGAAATGGCCTGTTTGCCAACTTCCGGTGGGACCGGAGGGCAAAAATGCAACACGTGTGGGACTTGGGAGGCCAAAAACAGCCCTGTTTTTCGCAAAGATAGGGCGCACAGAGGATTTGGGAGGCCTGCAGAGTGCTCCTGGAGACTGGGGAGGTCAAAAACGCCATTTTTGAGAAAAACAGGCCCTTTTTTGGCCTCCAAAAGCCTCCACACATTGCATTTTTGCCCACCCCAGCCCTCAGGAGTTCTCTGCAGGCCTCCCGAACCCTCTGGTGCATTCCGTTTTTGTGAAAAACGGGGTTTCAGGAAGCCAAAAATGGCTGCATTCGGTGTATAAGACGCACCAACATTTCCACCCTCTTTTAGGGGTGGGGGGAAGTGCATCTTATACTCCGAAAAGTATGGTATTTGTTGCACCACTGACAGATTTGTGCAAACAGCTTGAATATGCCAATACCTGTCTTTCTGCTTTCCATCAGGACTTTTGCAGACATCCACAGAGTTGGAAAGTGGCCCTTCAGCTTTCCAACCAGAGACAGCTATCTCTTTCTCTTTCTTCCCTTTCTGTGTCCCGGATGATTCTAAAAGAAAAAAGTTCAGGTAGAATGGTAGCCAACGGAACAGCGTAAGGACCCGACTCGCTCACTGTGAAAAGTACCATAGTCACTCAGCCCTTGGCATTCTCACTTTGGTTGGGTTGATGAGGATCAAAAGCGTTAAAAGTAAATTTCTTGCAATCAAGGGAAAAACATTTGAATGTCTTATACCAGGGGTGTCAAACTCAAGGTGCTTAAATCTGGCCCGGAAATGGCAAAGGACCGGCCTGCGGTGCCTCTGACAGCAAAAATGCCCCTCTCCCCGGTCCATTTTTGGCCTGGATAGCCTCCTGAAATAATTTGCTGGCCAAAACGGGGTATGGTAGGGCCACGTGTGGCTTCCACAGGGTCCGTTTTCAGCTTGGACAGCCTCCTGAAGCACTTTGCTGGCCCAAACCATCCGGGCCGCACCTCATTTTGGTCAGCAAAGCGCTTCAGGAGCCTGTCCAGGCTGAAAACTGGTCACGAAAATGTCCCCACTCCCCTCTCCCCGGCCGGCCCGCAGAAGAGAAGTACAATGCTGAACTGGCCCTTGAAAAAATCCAGTTTGACACCCCTGCCTTATACCAAGTTGTGCCATTAGAAACCATTCTATTTGTCAATGGGAAAAAAGTGGAATTAAGGGAAAATATCGTTTATTTCTAAATCCCTTCTTTTATACAGTGATTACATTTATTCCTAATTTGTACTGTTTTTGTCCTAAACATTTCGCAGTTAAGAATAATAACCCCACAGCAGGCAGGGATGCAATACACTGAAAAACTAGTTGCAATAAATAAGGTTAAAATTTTAAAATAAGTTACACTATTTTTCACAATTACTGTAGACAGATAATCTTTAAAAAAAGGTCATAGCTAGTTTAAAAATTCTATGATACAGAACCACCGAGGCAAACAAGAGAAAATGGGGCAGATTAAAGCAACTGCCCAGGTCATCTAAACTGGAAAGCGATTTTGTATCCAGGATGCCAGTCCATCATTCTGAGTGGTACGGTGGCCTAGAGGTGGAGCTCTCACCTCACAATCAGGAGGCTATGAGTTCGATCCTAGGTAGAGGCAGACATTTTTCTCTCTCTGGACACAGTGAGAATATATCTGTTAAACAAAGCTCCGCATTGGCGACAGGAAGGGCATCCGGCCAGTAAACACTCGGCTTCATTCAGTCACCCAGACTCCACCCCGCAAGGGATGATGGGGTCGTTAAAAGAAGATGAAAGATGATGCCAGTCCATCATTTCCTTTGCATCTAAGATCTGATGGTTGCCATTTCTGATCATCCATCAAAAAGAGCAGCTGGTTTCTTACCTAATAACCTCTTCCAGTTTTTGATAAGGAGTTTAGCCAGTGCCACCACTTCCTTGTCCGAGCAATGCTTACGCACTGTGTTGACAGCCACACCAATCTTGGTACTCTGAAACGATGCAAAGAAGGATTTGCATTACTGGAATCCATACTTTGTGGGGAGAAGAATCTCAGTATCCCCATTTTCAAATCGTCATCCTAAGGCAGGGGTCTGCAACCTTAAGCACTCAAAGAGCCATTTGGACCCATTTCCCACAGAAAAGAAAACACCGGGAGCCACAAAACCTGGGTGGGTGTGGCCAACTCAATGTCACTCAGTTCCACCAGTCACATGACACCCCCCTAGCCACGCCTACCCAGCCAGTCATTAGGGCAGAGAACCAGTTGTTAAAAAACACTGGGAACCACAAAACCCTTTTGACATATCTCTCCCCTCCCTCCCTCCCTCTCTCTCTCTCCTCCTCTCTGTATCTCTCTCTGTCTCTGCCCTGGCTGCTTCTCCATCCCCCACCATCGCCCTTACCTTCTCAGGCCAGCTGGGAGGGAAGGGTGAGGGGCGGGGCCAGCCAGTGGTCGGATCACCCGACAGGGAGCCACAGCAGAGGCCCAAAGAGCCGCATGTGGCTTCGGAGCCGTAGGTTGCTGACCCCTGTCCTAAGGGATGTCAAGATAGGGAAGGCCTTTCTCTGCTCAAGATGCTCCATTTCCTTAATTCTTCCTCACCACCAATGAAAACGATGGGAAATCATGTATCCAGTTTAATTATTTTCTAGATCCATTTACAACACCCCTCAATTGCCAAACAATAAGTGACAATGCATTAAAAAGGTTGACTCAGCCTTCCATCCTTCCGAGGTCGGTAAAATGAGGACCCGGATTGTGGGGGCAATAAACTGACTTTGTATAAAAAAAGAGCACCGCTTAGGGGGGGGCGGCAGGTATATACAAAAGTATGAAGGCTACTGCTTAACGCATTGTAAGCTGCCCTGAGTCTCCGGAGAAGGGTGGCATATAAATCGAACTAATAAATAAATAATAAAAAGATCCACATGTGTTGGGGGTTAGCAGATTGTCAAAATCCACACAATTGGGTGCAACTATTACAAAAAGAGATGGGCCTCCATTTTGACATCTTGCAGATTCTGGTCTTTCCTGGCAAGTAGCCCTGATTGAAACCAAGCAAAAAGAAAACGATAAACCGTTGAACAAAACCACATCAGGTAATAGGGAGAGAAAACCATAAACACCAAGACAAATTCTTAAAACTTCAGGAGCAATTTGGTGCCGCATTTGGGAGCTGTGATCTTCCAGGGTAAACTGGACTTCAAATGTATTCAAATTCTCTTCAAGTTTTCCCAACCATGCATCAGACTAGAAGTGAAGGATATTCAAGTGACCTCAAATGCTGGCTTACTGATGGCTTTGGTTCTCTTGTTCTCTCTCAGCCTCTCTCTCAGGGCTGTTGAGAAGACAAAGTGGATACTAGGAATGAGGAAATCCATCTGAATTGCCTCTGCAGTTCCTGGAGGAAAACTGAAATTAACCTAATACAGGCTGACAACAGCCCTTTGCAAGAGATGTCCGTTTTCCATGCTGGTTCGGCTGTCAGTAATTTGCACTATCCTTACCGTGACCATATTGAGCATGTGACATTGTGCTTAATGATCACACAGGATTGACTTAACGATGGCAACCGGAAGTGCCCGGAAGTGCTGCCAATAACCATCACAATAACATGGCATCTTGCTTTACAACTGTATTGCTTAACAACAGAGTTGCTCATCCCAGTAACCATCCTTAGGTGAAGACTGCCTGTTTTATGAGTTGAAACACAGGAATGCTTGGAGTTAAAAGGCCTGTTAAATGGGTTCAAATTTACATTTCTCAAGAGAACAAAGCAAACCAGCCTTACCTGTAGCAGCTCAATGCTCATGGTGCAGCTATTCAGTTTCTTCAAGAGGTCCAGAGCTCCTTCCTAAGGGGGGGGGGTAGAAAGAGCCCAGAAGGCATCGTTTAGACTTCATTTTCTGTTTTTTTTTTTTCTTTCTTTCTTTTTCTTCCTTTAAATGTTCCAAGAGAGCAAAACGTGCCGGCTTCTGAAGCACAGAGAGGTTGCAAATGCTCTCGTAAAAAACGCCTCCCATCTTGAATGCAGCCGGTCACAAAACATTCACTTTTATTTATTTCATTTTCAGCCCACCTTTATTACTTTATAAGGAACTCAAGATGGAGAACATACATAATACTCCTTTCTCTTCCTATTTCCCCCCTAAAACAAACAACCCTGTGAGATGGGTTGGGCTGAGAGAGAGAGTGACTGGCCCAAAGACACCCAGTTGGCTTTCATTTCTAAGGTGAGACTAGTACTCAGAATCACCTGATGATTGGCCCAAAGCCACCCAGCCAAGTTCCATGCCTAAAGTGGGAACTAGAACTCACAGACTGTTTCTCTTGATCTTCTAGCCCCCCCCCCACTTCCTTCACAACTCTTTCATTTCTTTAATTATGTTAAGGATATTGTTGTTGTGTTACCAACCAGCAGAGTGTAGAGCACAGAGAAACGTTGCTGAGAGCAATGAATAAGAGATGTGCAAACTGGTTTATCAAAAGTTTACTTTATAGTGAAAAAACAATCTCATAGTCTTTAAATCAATCCAAGTCTTTGCCAGTTAAATCAGTCCAGTGATACAAAAAATCTTCTTACCACACAAACAGTAGTTGGTTAGAATAACAAACTCACTCTGGTTCACAAACCACGATGGTAGCAGATCCATCCAACGATGATAGCACGACGATAGCAACTCCTCACACAATGGTAGCATATCATCAAGTGAATACTTTACAGTACCTTTCTTAAAACACATATATTGCCTGGACAACCTGTTAGACTCAAACCATATCCTAACAAATTATTTCCTAAGAGTTTCTGTTTGGCTTCTCTAAGACCTTACTGCAAATAAAATATGAGGCCGGAGGCCTGGAAATTAAATCGGAACATGCCAGCTTCTCAATCGTAAGTTTCTCTTCATTAAAACAATTAAAACATAATCATTAATTGGGGCATTGGCCAAGATAGATCGCAAAGAAGATGTCAGAAGGCATCGATAGGGTGATCTTCAGGCAATAGACGTTCCCAACTGGGTTTGTTAGTTACAGACAATGGGAATCCAAAAGAAGTTTTTTTCTTTCTTTCTCTAATTTCTGACATTAATAAGAAAAGATCCATAAAACAGATCGGCGTTTCTCAACTTTGGCAGCTTGAAGATGCATGGACTTCAACTCCCAGCATTCCCCAGCCAGCTTTCTGGGAAGTTGAAGTCTCCAGATCTTCAAGATGCCATGGTTGAGAAAAATTGAAACAGACAATCTGGAAAGGGAATTTTCTTGCAGACATTTCATTACCCAAACTGGTGCAGTCAGTGCATTGAGGATGTTATCTAGTTTAGATAATGAAAAGTCTACGAGAAAACAACCAAGCTCAGAGAGCACCAAAGGCTCCTCATTTTAACCCTGGACCACAAATACTCTCCTTTATTAATACTCCATCCTGTATCAAAACACCGTAAGTAAAAGAGGTGGTTAAAAGCTTCCATAAAGCACTGTATACATCCTGATATCTTTTCCGAGCCTGCTAATAACCTGTTTCCGCAGTATCATCTCCCACCTGAATGCTTTCAAAGGCCAAAGATAAATCCAATATATAACTTTGCCATCTGTCTCTTACACAGATTCAATTCCCTGCAATTGGACCAATCTTCTACTTGTTTTGAAAGCTAAGGAAGAGCAGAAAAGTGGGTGTTACAGGAGGAGAGAGAAAAAGAGAAAGAGTGATAAAACATATGCTTCCTTTTGTTGTTGTCTTCATGCTGTGACGTATGAATATCAGAAACGGAACGGAACGGACATTACCCTGGGCCATTTCCATCACATTCGTCAGTTCTAAAGTAAAGGTAAAGGTTCCCCTCGCACATATGTGCTAGTCGTTCCTGACCCTAGGGGGCAGTGCTCATCTCCGTTTCAAAGCCGAAGAGCCAGCGCTGTCCGAAGACATCTCCGTGGTCATGTGGCCGGCATGACTAAACACCAAAGGCGCACGGAACGCTGTTACTTTCCTACCAAAGGTGGTCCCTATTTTTCTACTTGCATTTTTGACATGCTTTCGAACTGCTAGGAAGGCAGAAGCTGGGATAAGTAACAGGAGCTCACCCCCTTACGCGGCACTAGGGATTCAAACCGCTGAACTGCTGATCTTTCGATCGACAAGCTCAGTGTCTTAGCCACTGATCCATCGCGTCCCTCGTCAATTCTATAGAGAGGCAAAATTTCCTCAGCTAAAGGCCACACTTTACTTATTCCTACATACCTCTGTACGCCACCTACTCCACATTTCTAGATAGCTCACAATAAAGCCATTAAAGCCTCAAGAGACAAAATGTTGAATACATCGTGTGCTTGTTAACTCTTATCTCCTTGGTGTCCAGTGCTAGACACCAGGAAATTCCATGGCTGAAGACTGGTTGGGGAAGTCAAAAAATAGCTAGGAAGAAAGCAATGGTACATTATTTGCATATTATTGCCAACAAAACAATATGCATGTGTTCGTGACATAATCAAGAGCCAAGCATAACTTGACGAGAGTTTACTTTTCTTAAAAAAAAAAAAAAAAAAAGCAAAATAGAATGAGAAACATTGACAACACTGCAATTGGGACCTGTTTCAAAAATGAGAGTCATGTTTGCTTCACTGTCATCCTTATCCCCTTTGGCTTATCATATTTATTCCAGAAACATATTGAAGCTCAACGCTGAAAGCTTGTGGGCTTTTTCAAGGTCCACTGACTGTTGCTTAATTCTAAAGAAAATTAGTGGCCTGTCCACCCAGGCTGGCCTCCCCCAAATCAGAATTTCTAATCCTGTTCCAGCATAGGACTTCCACTGTGGGAAGAACACTACCAGCTGTCCACCTTTATAATTGAAGGAGATCCAAGAAAATAAGATTAAAGTAGTTGTTTGTAGTCCACCCAAGCTAGAACAAAGTTTGCAAGGGAAATCAAACATTAACCTGAAGGTGTATTCTTGCTGTAGAGTGCCCAAGCGCATTTCATGCTTACATTTCTGGGATTTAAAGGGCTAAAGCCTCTGATTTTTAACCAAATGCAGTGTTTCTGCTGGCATGAAAGAACAAAATATATCTTTCCGCTTAAATAGGTTTCTGGAATAAATACGATAAACCAAAGGGGATAAACTTAGATGACAGTGAAGCAAACACAAACAAATTCTCATTTTTGAAACATGTCCCAATTAAGTATCTAGCCTTTTCACCTTTTTTTAAAATCAGGGGGTCCTTATCCAGAACATCAGAAGTAGCCCCCATGTAAGGTTTATAAAATATTACAGGCGGACAACTTCTGTTCTGTACTTGCCAAAGTGTCAATTAGTCTCTTTTTCTGCTTTCAGGTTCAAGACGCGTCTTTTTAATTGAACCTGTGAAAATGCTCAGTGTGAGCGTTTAAAAGTTAGATGCCTTCCCAGTTTAATCTAGTATATGAATTATAGACTTGGTTTTTTTTAATTTGATTTATATTCTGAATTCTTCTGAATTTCTGTACATCATCCTGTTTGTTTTGTTAGGTCTGGATAGGTTCCAGAGGCCAAAGAACACACTTTGGGGAGGGGGCACGAAAAATGAGACAGCCCACATCACATATACCGGTAGGTGAAAGTTGATTTCTGGGGAGAAGCTGGGATTTGTTTTTTTAAGTGTCATTTGTGTATTTATTCTTTTTCATATGAAAAATGGAATAAATTGTTTTGCATTCACAACAGCCATGCCTAGTGGGACCACTGAGAGACTAAAAAGGAAAGGTGAGCATCAGATACAGTTCTTAAGCTAGTTGGCTTAACCCCTAGGTTAGGCAGTACAACAGCAATATTACTGTCAGCAGCGAAGGAACCACATTCACTATGAATAGAGGTTGTCCAGTTATAGAACAACGAGTCACTTTGGTCTAAATCAGTGTTGGCGAACCTTGTTGGCACCAAGTGCCCAAGCCGAAATGCGTGTGCATGCCGCAGCCCTGGAAACCCAAAGACCAGCTGGCCGGTGGACACATCTTTGGATTTCCAGGGCTCTGGCACCAGTGGTGGGTTGCTACTGGTTCACCCCGGTTCGGGAGAACCGGTAGTAGTGGTAGCGGGAGGCTCCACCCACCCACCCGGATGTCATCAAATACGCTCTGCGCATGCACCAAAGCTTCACACAAGCGAACCGGTAGCAAAGGTAAGTGAAACCCACCACTGTCCGGCACGTGCAAAGATCCGCTGGCGGGCCGGAAACCACAAGAGCAACTGGCGAGGGCATGCGTGCCCGCAGAGAGGGCTGTGTGTGCTACCTCTGGCACACATGCCATAGGTTCGTCATCACGGGTCTAGAGGTTAGGGCACCAGGCTAGAAAGCATGAGACCATGAGTTCAAGTCCCACCTTAGTCATGAAAGCCAGACTGGATGACTTTGGACCAGTCACTCTCTCTCAATTCAATTCAGCTCACAGGGTTGTTGTTGTTGTGGGGAAAATAGGAAGAGGAAGGTGTGCTGTGGATATCTTCACGGCCTTGAGTTATTTGTAAAAATAATAAAGGCAAGATATAAAACAAATTTAAAAGTATCAATATCAGCAACAAAGTAACCAGACCCACTTATGAATAGAGGTTGGGCAGTTGTAAGAAGAGTAGGCCCTGGAATGGATTTGTTGAACCAAGTTGAATCCAATGCCAGTGGAAAAGTCTACATTATAGCCAAGGTTTGGCAAATAAACATTTGATGAAGCTGAAACATGTACTATTGGAAGAAAAGCAGGACTACCTCCTCCTACCTGCTGGCTCAAAATCAAAATAGATTTTGTAGCTTAATTATACAACTCTAACCTCTTGTTCCCTTCTGAACCTCCAAGGGCCTTTAGCGGAGACCTTAAATGTGACCAACAAATAATCTAGGTTAATATCATAATTGCTAGTAAGTATCCATTTGCCTCCAGAAGTCGTGGGTGCTCCAACACTGCAGGTTTTTAAGAAGAGGCTGGGCAGCCAATTTGTCTGAAATTGTATCGGGTTTCCTGCTTGAGCAGGGGGCTGGACTAGAAGATCTCCAAAGTCCCCTTCCGACTCTATTATTTTGTTACACTCACAGGAGAAGGCCTTCTCCTGCTTCACACAAGGGTCCCATTGGCCAGGTGTCTTCCAAAATTTTAAGCTGGGTGGTGTCATGTTCAGTTTAAAAAAAAAATAGGGATGGGGTGGGCCACTCCACCTTATTGAAAGCAGATAGTGCACAGGGCCTCCTTCCCTTTCCCTCCTCCTACTCCTCCTCTACTTCTCCCAGACTATCCCTGCCTTAGGAGCCCTGCCCCAAGATCAAATTTAAGAGCTCTAGCCTTTGCCAAGCACCTGTTTCCCCCCCCAAAAAAGCCTTCCCTTCCGCCATCAGGAGCCTCTTGGTCGGTCTTGAAAGTTAACTACAAACTCAGATGTGAGTTCTACTTGGTTACACCCGGGGGAGGAGGAAGGGGGGAATGGAGACCAGAAAAAGCCGGAATTGAAAAGTAAGTAGAGGGGAGATCGCAGAGCGAACGGGTCCGACTCAGCCAAGGTTACACGAATGTGTAACCCCGCTTCCCTTTCCCCCCCCTCCTCCTCCTCTTCCTCCTCCTCCCCCGTGCGTTTTCTAAGGCGCACGCCTCTCTCCTTCGCCTTTGCAACCAAGACCGATTTGCAAAAACCTCCCTCCTCCTCCTCCTCCGAAGGGGGACCGAAAGCAACTGCAAAACCACCCATTGCACAAACTTCCTCCAAGCCTGCAAAAGGTTTTTGTGTGTTAAAAGCCAAGAGCGAAGGAAGGAGCCAAAGACAGCGCAACAAACACACCCACACAAGACGAAGTTTGTTGGGGTTGTTGTTCCCCCCACCCACCCACCCACACCCACACCCACACCCACACACACACATACACACACCTTACCGTGTTCTTCCTAGACACCATCTTATCCAACTTTTTGGCCGTCCGGATCAGCTCCTCCGCTCGCCCCATGGCTCCTTCGGCCGGTCTCAAACGGGCGGTCCGTCCACACGCCCTCTGGTTCTCTGCCCCCTCCGCCCAAGGTCCAGAGAAAGATACGTGTGTTGTTTATGATATACGTATGGATGAAAACTACAGCTGGGGAGGGGGGGGATGTTTTCACAACACTTCCTTCTTCAGCAGGGTTCGGTTGGTTTATTTTAAGGAGGAAAGGGAAAGTGCTTGTGGCACTTTAAAAAAGGAGGGAGTGGGAGAGAAGAAAGAAAGGAAAAGTTGTTGGGTCTTTTGTTTGTGGCGCTAACTAAGCTAAACTAATTTAACAAGTTTGGACCAAGCAGGAGGAGGGAAAAAAAGGGGGGGAGTGGCGAGCCAGGGACTTATAAACGACGGCCGTTGCAAAGTCGAAATAGCACCCTGGGACGAGCTAAATATAGGAGCCGAGGATCAAGTGGTGGAAAAAGAAAAAAAAAAAAAAGCCCAGGCAAGGACGGAGCTGGGAGGTGTTTGAGACCACGTGCGAGCTAGGATGGGTTGAGCTCCGCGGTGGGGTGGGGTTAAAAGGAGGGAGGGGGACCTTTGGGAGCGGCCTCCCGAGGATCAGCTTCGGGGTTTGAAGAGAGGGGAGAGCTACCCGCCCAAGCTGCTTTTTACGATGCTCTTCACGCCCTAAAAGCAAGGATCTCCAACCTTGGTAACTTTAAGACTTGTGGACTTCAACTCCCAGAGTTCCTCAGCCAGCAAAGCTCCACAAAGTCCACAAGTCTTAAAGTTACCAAGGTTGGAGACCCTTGTCCTAAAGCCGCCTTTCTCAACTTTGGGCCATTTGAAAGATGGGTGGAGTTCAACTCCCACGGAGCTCAAGCAAAGAAGTCCACCTGGTTTGGGGAATTCTGGGTGTTGAAGTCCACAAGTCTTAAAGTTACCAAGGTTGGAGACCCTTGTCCTAAAGCCGCCTTTCTCAACTTTGGGCCATTTGAACATGGGTGGACTTCAACTCCCAGGGAGCTCAAGCAAAGAAGTCCACCTGGTTTGGGGAATTCTGGGTGTTGAAGTCCACAAGTCTTGGGTTGGAGACCCTTGCCCTAAAGCCACCTTTCTCAATTTTGGCCCATTTGGGGGGGGGTCCAACATGGGTGGACTTCAACTCCCAGGGAGCTCAAGCAAAGAAGTCCGCCTGGTTTGGGGAATTTTGGGAGTTGAGGTCCACAAGTCTTAAAAGTTACCAAGGTTGGAGACCCTTGCCCTAAAGCCATCTTTCTCAACTTTGGGCCATTTGAAAGATGGGTGGAGTTCAACTCCCAGGCAGCTCAAGGAAAGAAGTCCACCTAGTTTGGGGAATTCTGGGTGTTGAAGTCCAGTCCACCAAGATTGAGAGACGCTGCCCTGAAGGGTAAGCCTTCAAGGTGACTTTCAAGCCAGAGCTGAAATCCAGCAGGTTCTAACAGGTTCGGGAGAACTGATAGCAGAAATTTTGAGTAGTTTGGAGAACCAGCAAATGCCACCTCTGGTTGGCCCCAGAGTGGGGTGGGAATGGAGATTTTGCAATATCCTTCCCCCAGGAGTGGGGAGGGAATGGGGATTTTGTAGTATCCTTCCCCTGGAGTGGGGTGGGAATGGGGATTTTGCAATAGCCTTCCCCCAGAAGTGGGGAGGGAATGGGGATTTTGCAGTATCCTTCCCCTGGAGTGGGGTAGGAATGGAGATTTTGCAATCTCCTTCCCCTGCCACACCCACCAAGCCACCCCCACAGAACCAGTAGGGAAAGAATTTGGATTTCATCCTTGTTTCAAGATCTCGTTCAATGAAATGGGGCACTCCCCACACACACACCCCAGATCAGCAATAATATTCCCTTGCCCCACTTTTTGAAGTTAAAGTTACAGCCTGCCATTGTATCGAGGGATCAAGAACTGTGGCTTGTGAGGGTTTGGTGTTTTTTTGTTTTTTTGTTTATTTTGCTTTCAGGCACCTTATCTAAACGTTGTGTTACGGAACCTTGGAAGGGAAATTTCGGCAGCCAGTTGGTAGTAATGGGCTGTTGATATACACTTTGACTGACAACATTTGAATTAGATATTTTGAGGAATGGGAGGAGGAGAGAGAGAGAGAGAGAGAAAGAGGAAGGAAAGGCAGTTTCAAACAATATTGTTCAAAGTTTGGAGTCATTCTGTTTGTAACCTAATTTGACACACCCTGTTCTCTTCATTATTCAAATTGAAAGTGCATTGTTTGGTTAACCATGTTGCACATGTGTATACAGATAGTCCTTGACTTAACAGTCCATTTAGTGACCGTTCAAAGTTACAATGTCACTGAAAAAAGTGACTTGGGACCATTTTTCACACCTACGACCTTTGCAGCATCCCCCAAGGTCACGTGATTTACATTTGGATGCTTGACAACTGGATCCTATTTATGATGGTGGCCCTGTCCCCATGGGTCATATGATCCCCTTTTGCGACCTTCTGACAAGCAAAGTCAATGGGGAAACGAGATTCACTGAACAACCACGTTATTAATTTAACAACTGCAGTGATTCACTTAAGAAATGTGGCAAGAAAAGTCATTCAATGGGACAAACTCACTTAATGAATGTTTCACTTAGCAACATAAATTTTGGGCCTGATTGTGGTCGTAACTTGAGGACTATCTGTACATTTCTGTTGTTAATTAAAGGTAAAGGTTCCCCTCGCACATATGTGCTAGTCATTCCCAACTCTAAGGGGTGGTGCTCATCTCCGTTTCAAAGCCAAAGAGCCAGTGCTGTCCGAAGACATCTCCATGGTCATGTGGCCAGCATGACTAAACGCCAAAGGCACACGGAATGCTGTTACCTTCCCACCAAAGGTGGTCCCTATTTTTCTACTTGCATTTTTTATGTGCTTTCGAACTGCTAGGTTGCCAGAAGCTGGGACAAGGAACGGGAGCTCACCCCGTTACGCAGCACTAGGGATTTGAACCGCTGAACTGCCGACCTTTTGCTTGACAAGCTCAGCGTCTTAGCCGCTGACCCAACGCATCACTATTAAAAAAAAAACACCTGCGATCATCAAGCATCTTTGACTTTTGGTCACTGTAGAGCAGAGGTGTCAAACTCAAGGCCCGGGTTGGGGGGAGCGGATCCAGCCCGCAGGATACTTAGATCTGGCCCTTGGGGCCACCCTGGAAACAGCGAAGGACCGGCCCGCGGTGCTTCTGCCAGCAAAAACGGCCTCCTGCAACCCTCTGCCATTGAAAGCGGAGCTCCGTTTTCACTGGCAGAGGGTTGCAGGAGGCCGAGGAAGCCGAAAACGGAGTTTGGGAGCCTGTTTTAGCTGACAGGGCGCTCGGGCACCCCTGACAGGAGTGACATTGAGCTGGCCATGCCCACCCTGGCCCCCTGAGGTCAAACACAACCCTGATGTGGTCCTCAATGAAATCGAGTTTGACACCCCTGTTGTAGAGACACTATTTTGATCTCCCTTGGACAACAGCCTATAACTCTTGAGGACACTCTTTGATTCCACCTATTCATCTTACTTGTCTTCCTCCCTTTCCTTGCCAGACATAATCCTTCTTAGTCTTCTCTCCATTTGCATGATAGACTCAAAGTTTATACGCTTCATCAGTTCAAGAGCCAATCAATCCATGGTACTTTCAGAAATCAGATCTGCATTCATTTGAGGGTATCTCTGCGTCTCTTCATTTTCCTTGTTACTCGGCTTTACAATGCCACTGAAAATTGTTATCTTTTTCTCATTGAAGTGCCCTTATTCTTCATGATCTTGGCTCATTCTGTGTTTCCTCTCCAGCCTAGAATTAATCTCCTTCTAACTTTTCCAGCACAGTGACTTTTATCTGTTGTTCTCCTATCTTCACCAAAACATGAAAAAGAAAAGTTTTTTTTTTAAAAAATGTTGTAAAACATTAAAAAATAAGGGGAAGCTTCCCCACCTCACACTACAAAGCTTTGGCCTCATGCTTCCGGTGATACCATCACTTCTCTTGAAATGGCCCTGGGGTGCTCGGAAGCTTTATTTTAGGGGAAAATTGGGGCCTTTTGTCAGTCAGGAAGAATTGGGATCACACAGAAAGTTCCAAATAAGATGGTTTATTGCTCGTGCCTATACAAAACAATGTAGTCAAGAGTCAGCGGTGATAGATGAGTCTCAATAGAATTGGTTTATTGAGGGGTTGGACTTAGACATTTGTAGAAACGTAAGGACTCTAGACTGATTACTTGCTTGACTCCATCCCCAGTCTCTGCCTGCTCTTCTCCTACATCCTTTGCATTATAATATCAGAGGTCCACTTTGCCAAAATTTTCCTACTCTGACAATGGCTCTATAGAGAAATATACTCCATACTTTTTGGAGTATAAGACGCACTTCCCTGCCCCCAAAAGTGGGTGGAAATGTCTGTGCGTCTTATACAGCGAATGTTGCTGAAGCCCCGCCCACCCGCAGGCCCCCACCTGCCGGCCATTTTCAGCCTCCGTGCATCGCGTTTTCAGCCTCCACACGCTCCATTTTAGACCAGTTCCAGGCTGCGGGGATTGCCACAGCACATTGCCACCGATCGCCTTCTCCACGTGTCGCATTTTCAGCCTCTGTGCGGAAAATGGAGCATGTGGAGGCCAAAAACACGATGCATGGAGGCAGCATTGGGGCTGTGGCGATCCCCGAGACTGGAACAGCTGATTGGCAGTATTCCAGGAGGCCGATCCAACCGCCAATCAGCTGCCCGTGCTGAATCAGGATGCGATAACGTGCTGAAGCTGATCAGGCTGTTTGCTGCAAGGACGCTAGCCAGATGAATACCGATGGATGCTGGTAGGCAGAGGCAGAATTTTTTTCCCTTGTTTTCCTTCCCAAAAACTAATGGGCATCTTACACTCCAGAGCGTCTTATATTCCAAAAAATACGGTAAATGAACTCTCAATCAAGATGGATCCTGATTGGGAATTATGAGAGGTACATTCAAAGCTTACACAGCCGGTAAAAAATATATTCCCCAAAGATTCCAGCCATGCCCACTCTTGCCAAAAGCAAGGGATTTTCTATACAATACAAAACCACACTGAATTTCCCAAACCTTTTTAGCCAAGTGAGATCAATACGTCAAGATTCATGTTGTCTTTTCCCGTTTGCAAAGCCTTCGGTCTCTTATGGACTTAAAATGGAAGAGGTAATTCCTCCCTTTGAAATGAAGGTAGAGTTCCAAAATCTTTTTCCCAAAAAACCCCAGTAATTTTAGGATCCAGGAGAAGTCACTTTCTAACTGATTCTGTGAATTAATTCATTATCTGTATCCTTCAGTAGAGGCTACCACCCACGAGTGGGCTGCTGGGGGTTCGCAGGGGTTCAGGACAACCTCTAGCTAAGATTCTGTACAGTTCGGAGAACCCCCAAATCCCACTTCTGGCTGGCCCCACCCACCACGACCCACCCCGCCCCCTACCAGGAGTCCCCACGCAGCCCATTTTGGATGCAAGTAACTGCAGGGCGCGCGC